GCGGGCGGAAGCGGAAGTGACGTCAGAACCGATAGGCGGGACCTGAAGATGGCGGCGCGGCTGCTGCGGGGGGCCGGGCGGAAACGGAAGTGACGTAAGAACCGATGGGCGGGGACTGAAGATGGCGGCGCGGCTGGTGGTCGTGCGGCTGCTTCGCGGGCCGGGCGCCTGGGGCGGCTCGCGGATTAGGTGAGTCCGCGGCGAGCCGGGGGCAGCGGGCCCACGCGGCGCGAGTGTCCCCGAGGCCTGGCCGGGGCCTCTGCGGCCCAGCCGCCCCCGCTGCCCCTCTCGCAGGCGCCCTCCTCCCCCCGTCGGCCCCCTCGAGTCGTCCGAGGTCGCGCCGCCTCTGTCCTCGCTTCTCTGGCGCGGGTCCTGCCCCGAAGCAGAGCGCCCGCCCTTGACCGCCCGCCGGACTCTGAGCCCTGGGCAGTCGGGCCTCCCGCCATCTGTCGGCCGGACGGGCTCACTGGGCAGCCTGTGCTGAGCGCCTGCTGTATGCCACGCATGTGCCGGGCAGTCGGGCCTCCTCGGCCGTGGTGGACAGACGGTTGTGCGTGGGAAGGGGCCCGAGGAAGAGGAGTTTAGACAGGGTCAGTGGACGCAGGCCTTGGAGCCATCGCAGCGAGGGGAGAAGGGCGCACCGGGCGGTCAGTGTGAGCCCAGGACGGTGGCACTGGACGGGACGTGCTTTGTGTTGCAGGATCGCGTCCCGCGGGCGCCACGGGCACGAGTTACCCTCCGTGCGTTGAGCTGAGAAGCGGTGGGTCGGCCAGGCCCTGGCCCTGACCGCTCGTGTTGGAAAGGGGCGGGCGCTGGACGGGAGTTTGGAAGAGATGATCAGGAACAAACCCTTCTGAAAAAGGAGGCCCTGGGTTCGTGTGGTCACTGGCATCGCTGGGATGGTAACTGGCCGATGTCTGTGCTGTAGGTTCGGACCCGCAGCGTCCAGGCCGTTCAGCAGCGGAGCCACTGTCCCCAGCATCCCTCTCTCGGCGCCCTTGCCCGGCGTGCCCAAGCCGGTGTTTGCTACAGTTGATGGACAGGAGAAGTTTGAAACCAAAATCACCACCCTGGAAAATGGACTTCGAGTGGCCTCCCAGAATAAGTTTGGGCAGTTCTGCACCGTGGGAAGTAAGTCCCGGAGCCGCTTCTGCCCAGTGCGTTGGCCAGCTGGTGCTCCAGGGACGCGGGGTTGGGGGTTGCACATGAGTCAGGCAGAATTGGGAAGCGGAGTGGCCAAGGCATGGACGTTGGTCACTTCTGGTGGCACTAGGGTGTCCTCAGCCTTTCTGAGGTGTTTCTTCCCTGTGAACACGTACGTTGTCATCACTGGGAGCTGAGCCCGCGGCACCGAGTCAGTCCCACCTTAAGGCAGCTTGCTGGGTCCGACTTGAGCTGCTCAAGGCCAAGTGGCTGCTGGCTTTGAAAGGCTGACGGCGAGATGCTCCCAGACTGCTTTAAGCCCCGCACTACCAGGATTCCTTGGGAAATTCCTTACACCTTCTCTGAGCGCTCTGCTGGGGTCCAGCCAGCTCACAGTAAAGCCTGTGGCGTGACGTGTTGTCACGTGCACCTGTGAGGCCCCCAGCACTGTGGGAGTGACAGCTGCTGAGTCCCTGCTTCCCTTTAAGGGCAGCTGTCCTGGTCGATGCCTCTGTTTTGAACGTCTCATCTGATTGGTTAATGTTCCTTCTATTCCTAGTCCTAATTAACTCAGGATCGAGATACGAAGCGAAACATCTCAGTGGAATTGCTCACTTCCTGGAGAAATTGGCATTTTCGGTCAGTGTCCCGTGGGTCATTTTTGTGGCTGTGCCTGAGGAGATGGGTTTTCTTCAGATGAGTGTGGTTTTAACAGTCACCACGAAGTTCTTGCTGGTGGAAGGTCTCTGAGCGGAGACGTTGTGTGGGTGCCTGTGGAGGTGGAAGTCTGGGTTCTGTCCTGCGTCCTGGGCGTGGCCCTGTCTTCCCAGTGGTCCGCAGAATGCCCATTGTCTCATTTCTCTCACCAGTCAACTGCGCGATTTAGCAGCAAAGATGAAATTCTGCTCACGCTGGAAAAGCATGGGGGCATCTGTGACTGCCAGATATCGAGGTGAACGCTGCTTCCGGGGGCCCGTTTACTGCTGCCTGGCTCACCTTCGTCAGGGCCTCACAGGGAGGTTGGCCGGGGGAGCACAGGCCCAGGTGGGCAGAACGCTCAGTGCTGATGGGCACCGGAGGCCTGGGGGAGGGACAAGGCCCTGAGATGCTCACACGGGGGTCAGAGGCCCTCCTAGCAGCATTTATAAGTGGGGGAACCCCAGGGTGAGGTCTTGCATCTGCTTGGAGTGGGAGGGGAGAGACAGGATACGTGGCACTGGAGCTGGTCCAGGGAGAGGCAGAGAGCCCTAGGCCGAGGGGCTGGTGGGAGCTGTGGCCCTGGGTGGGCAGAGGCCAGGTTCGGGCTGGGGCATCGAGGGGTTCTGCATGTAGCTGGAACACAGATGGATGGTCAGATGAAGAGAGATCTCTGAGCAAGTGGGCAAAACTGGAGTGAGCACAGAGGTCCCGCTGGCCGGGAGGGAAGTCCTTGCCTGTGGGTCAGCCCCTCTGGTTCTGGCCCCAAGTCTCCCTGCACTGCTGGGTCATGTGTCACTGACTTAGCTTCTCCTGTTCTTGAGATCCTGGTGTCCCCCAGCCATGTGCACAGCGGCTGCCTCCCTGATGTCACGTGCGTCTCTAGGACAGACCTTTCTCCTGGTCGTCCTGAGCTCTACCTCACGTGGTCAGTAGACGTGTACGGTCCTGTCCAGCGCAGCACGCACAGCTGGTGCTGGGGATTAGCCCTCTAAAGCCAGTGACGTGCTCCTCAGGGCCAGGGCCAGGGCCAGCACGTTGCCCAGCAGTGAGCGGGGACTCAGTGGGTCCTCAGCCCGAAAGGAGATGCATCCCTGCTGAGATGTCTGGTGTAAACACCTCCACCAGCGTAGGCCCTCCATGGCCTCCCCTGCAGACAGCGATGGTCCTGTGTGGCAGGCGTCCCCCCGTGTGGCCAGCCCTCCACACCGCGGCCTCCCCATGCCGCGGCCCCACACACCACAGGTGCCATTGGAGGAAGAACTGCTTTGAAGCCAACCTAGCACCAGCACATTCTGCTTTTGCAGGGACACCACCATGTATGCTGTGTCTGCCGACGCCAAGGGCTTGGACACAGTGGTGGGCTTGCTGGCAGATGTGGTCCTGCATCCTAGACTGACAGGTGAGGTTGTGACCCGGCATGTAGCCCACAAGGCAGGGAAGGGACTGGGGGTACTTCGCTGCTGATGAGGGAAGTCCAGCAATTACGGTCAGTTTGACATCAGGGACACTGAGGTGGGACTCAGCCTTCTCAAGTTGAGAGGCTCCTAAGTCCCTGATGCTCCTGGAAGGTGGGTCTGTCCCTGACAAAGTCCAGCACCTGAGGACCACACCTGTCCACCGCCCTAGCTCATCCCTGTGATGGGAGGACATCTGGGTCTCCACCAGGAGTGTTCTGCTGGGTGAACTGGGCTCGAAGCTTCCTAGCCATATGGTGCTTGGCGTCACAGGCAGAGAGGACGCCCCTCTGCCTGCCACGTCTTTGTGGCACTGTCGGAGCCGGTAAAGCTTGCAGTCTTAGTCCTGGGCAGTGCTGGGATAGGCCACTCGGGGCCGCCTCCGCCCTCCGGCCAGGCAGGGAGAAGCCTGCGTCCAGGAGACCCTCCAGAGCAGGCCTGCTGGGAGAAGCCGAGGCAGGGACAGGCTCAGAGCCGGTCTCTGCCCTCAAGTCCCTGCCCACCGTGGCACCTCCTCTTCTCCAGGTGTGACTCCAGCTTTGTCCCTGGAGCACATGACTGTGGGAGGTGACACCATGCTATGCTCTCACCCAGCCGTGGCCGTGGTCAGCAGCACTCAGTTCTAGAGGCCACGGCAGAGATTTGAGAGACACGGGCTCGAGGCCTCCCGTTGGCTGTGGAGGTGCTGCAGCCTGAGCCCACACCCCAGTTCTGGAGGTGCAAGCCGAGCACACTTCCTGGGTCCTGAGGGATCAGGCTTGGGCTCACGCTCCGTTCTGGAGGTGAAGGCTGAACCCACACCCTGGATTCTGGAGGTGCAGCCCGAACCCTCGCCTTTCTCTGCAGACGAAGAGCTGGAGATGACGCGGATGACGGTGCAGTTCGAACTGGAGGATCTCAACATGAGGCCGGACCCCGAGCCACTGCTCACAGAGATGATTCATGAGGTCAGATGCACCCCGTCCCTGCGCTGTCCTTCCGCTGGTGCCAGCCCTGGAGCTGAAGTCGCTTGAGGGGCTCTTTGTCCCTCAGCGTTGCCGTCACGGGTTTTCGGTGTCCCCTCCGTGACGTTTGCATGTTCAGCCGTATCAGGAAGCTTCCACACGTCATGTGTCTGTGTCATCACCTGCCTCACCTGGCCTGTGCTCTCTGTCCTGGACATGCCATGCGCGCAGGTGGTTTCCGAGTGTCACCCCGCAGGCCTGCTCTGGAGAGTGTCCTGGACGCAGCTTTCCGGACTTTTCTCACACCGTCCGCTGACTTTCCAGTGAATGCCCATTAGGGAAATGCTGCTCCAGGGAGGGGGCTCCCACTGTCTTCCCAGGTCCGTGTGGCCATGGCGAAGTGGAGGGGACAGTTGTGGAAATCTGCTCAGGAGGTCTGGCTGCCGTGAGGACACTGGCCAGGTTCCTGCCGTCACTCTTATGACCGCTGTCTCCCGTAGGCCGCTTTCCGGGAGAACACAGTGGGTCTCCACCGCTTCTGCCCCCCTGAGAACATCGCCAAGATGGACCGCAAGGCCCTGCACTCCTACCTGCGCGACTACTACACCCCTGACCGCATGGTGCTGGCCGGTGTGGGCGTGGAGCACGAGCGCCTTCTGCAGTGTGCCCGCAAGTACCTGCTGGGCGTCCAGCCGGCCTGGGGGGAGCAGACGGCGTCCGAGGTGGACAGATCGGTGGCTCAGTACACTGGTGGCATCGCCAAGGTGAGGCTCACGGCAAGGCCTGAGCGTTCTGCTGCTCCCTGCTCTGTCGGCTGTGAGTCTTCTGAGCGCACGTCCGTCTCTCTGTGCGTGTGTGTCTTTGAGCTGAGTGTGACACCACGGGCTCCAGGCCCAGCACAGGTGTTACTCATGAAGCCGTATGTTCTTGTCATTGTCCCAGTTGGAACGAGACATGTCGGCTGCCAGCCTGGGCCCCACACCGATCCCTGAGCTCACCCACGTCATGGTGGGCCTGGAGAGCTGCTCCTTTCTGGTAGGTGTGCGTGTGGGCCCCGCCTGGTCCTGCCCGGCCGGCCATGAGCGAGCCTGACCGCTGTCTCTGCAGGAGGACGACTTCATCCCCTTCGCCGTGCTCAACATGATGATGGGCGGGGGCGGCTCGTTCTCGGCCGGCGGGCCTGGGAAGGGCATGTTCACCAGGCTCTATCTCAACGTGCTCAACAGGTGCGCTGGGCAGGGCTGGAGGGGGCAGCGGGGCCACCCGCCACCTCCTCACAAGTGCCCGAGCTTCAGTCCTACTCCCTGCAGGCACCACTGGATGTACAACGCCACGTCCTACCACCACAGCTACGAGGACACCGGTCTCCTGTGCATCCACGCCAGCGCAGCCCCTCGGCAGGTGAGGCCCAGGCCACCCAGCAGAGGCCATGTGGCTGCAGCTCAGCCCTAGGCCTTAGTGCACATCTTGGATAAGGGAGCAGCAGCGGGCCCCTTCACATGCCCCTCCTCTCCTAGCACCTCTCACCTGACCCCCTCTCCACCCCCAGGTCCGTGAGATGGTGGAGATCATCACAAGGGAGTTTATCTTGATGGGCGGAGCTGTGGACGCGGTGAGCACCTGGGGCCCGTGAGGGTGCAGAGCTGGCTGTAGGGACATTGCTGCTGGCCTGCAGGGAACGTGCTGGCCAGACCCCAGCCAGGACGCACCGAGGCCAGGCGGAGTGGCTGGAGGCCCAGGGCTGAGCAGTGAGCCTTGGCTTTGCAGTCTGGGAGTGTTGGCCATTTTAAGCTGTAATGCTGCTGTTACCCTGATGAAGGCCCAGGGATGCAGCCCCACCCTCCCCTTGAAGACACACCGGGTTCTCTCTGAGTTGGGTCTGGGCCCTCTGGACGCACTTGCAGTGACCTCGGTGGGACCATCTCAGTTGTGGACATGAGGGGTGGCTCTGGATCAACTGATGGGGCCTCGTCCCCAGGTGGAGCTGGCCCGAGCCAAGACCCAGCTGACGTCCATGCTCATGATGAACCTGGAGTCCCGGCCGGTCATCTTCGAGGACGTTGGGCGGCAGGTGCTGGCCACCCAGTGCCGGAAGCTGCCTCCTGAGCTGTGCTCCCTCATCGGTGAGTTGGGGGGCCCTCCGCTCCATCAGCTGTGTGCGGGTGAGCCCCGGTGGGCCCCCCCTCGCCTGCCATGTGCCTGGGTGGGCTCCCCGTTTAGCCCAGCTGCAGTCAGGTGCTGCCCTTGCTCTGGGGGCCCTGGGGCGTGGAAGCTCCAGCCCACTGGGAGGCCTCATGGGGGAGTTCTCCCCTGACCACTCTCTGCCCTCCACTAGATCGTGTGACAGCCGACGACATCCAGAGAGTGGCGTCCAGGATGTTGCGTGGGAAGCCCGCCGTGGCTGCGCTTGGTGACCTGAGCGACCTCCCCACCTACGAGCACATCCAGGCGGCCCTGTCAAGCCGAGATGGACGCCTGCCGCGGGTATACCGGCTCTTCCGGTAGTAATCCCAGAGGGGCCCACTGGTCACATTGGTGTCGCCGCCTTCCCAGGGTGCTGCCTCGGCAAAGACACAGGCTGAGCTAATAAACGGCGCTCCTGGGCTCTGGCACGGCAGGATTGGGCCTCACTGCCCACCAGTCTGCTCTCCAGCACCAGCCTCCCGTTACCCACTGCTGTCCTGCACGAGCGCCTAATCCATGCTGCCCACCGCTGCCCACCGCACTCCTTCAGCACTGATGCTTCCGGGACCCTCAGATGTGGACACCTGCGCTCCCATCTAGACACTCGTACTGCAGAGATCAGCACCACGTGGCCTGGGCAGGACCTCTGGTCAGCGCCCACAGCCCATAAGCCTCTGGTGGCCGGGTCCTGCCTGCTTGGCGTTCCCATGACGACTTTGGCCGAGGTGATTGTGGGGCACGGGCAGACCGACGGGAAGCACTGGAGGTGGCTGGCTCTTGGGACAGACTTCGCTCAGGAGAGCTGTGGAGGCCAGCGACAGACATGGGTGCATCTCTGTGACATCGGTCATCACTGCTGCTTGAAGCTCCCTGTTCCCAGGACCCCCTACCCCAAGCTTCCTGTACCTGGGGCTGGAGGTCTCAGCAGTGGGTACAAGAGTCTGCTTGTTCCTTCAGCAGAGACTGGCTGACCCCGCAGGAGGTAATGGGGTGTTCTCCCAGAATCCAGCATAGTGGACTCTGCAGGACCTGTGTGCCACAGCCTGGTCTAAGCCCCTGTCCCAGATGACGTGCCAGGAGCAGGAGGGTGTGCTGCTAAAAGATGGCAGTGGCTTCCTGGACCAGCCTGCAGCCCTGTGTGCTCTGGAACCTTCTACTGAACTGACTTCATGCCCTGGGAGTTGCTGGTGGCAGCGGTCAGCAGCTCGATGGGGGATGAGCGTGTGGGAATGGCCATCCTCCCCGTCCACTCGCTGTACTGAGTTCTCTGAGCCCCCGGAGCTGGGGTCTGTCTGCTGCTGAGGCTCCGCTGACTTTACCCCCTACCCCGTCTCCATGGTGGGGGTTCCCTGTGAGCACTGTGTTCTCTGTGCAGTGTCCAGTGAGTGACCAGAACCCCCTACTCATCTGAAGTCTTGTTATCACCCTGCTTTGGTGGCCTTTCCCCAGGGGTTCATTGTGGATATGGGGACAGCACCTCAGGGTGACGGATGGTCATGTCCACACTGCAGGGCCAGCAGAACTGCAGCTCTGTGCACCCCACCCCCCAGTTCAGTGGAAGCTGTTGCTGTCGTGGTCATGTGTGCCTTCTGGAGACGGCTTTCTATGGTCAGTGGCTGGTTTCCCTGGTTGGAATCCTGGTAGCACAGTGTTTGAGCACTGGTCACTTGAGCCCGTGGACCACTCCACTGGTGAGCCAGGCTGCTTCCACAATGACCCCAGCCTCCAACCCGGGCAGCTCTGCTTGCCCTCGGCTGTGAGAACCTGCAGTACCTGGGGGTGAGCACAGTGGATCTAAAGCTGCAGAGTCAAATGGATGAGATGCTTTGCCAGTGAGACTTGGGACTTGATTTCTTTACAAAATGTCTAAACTCGGAGAGCTCAGTCTGGTCAGAAGTGTTAAGGTTTGGTATGTGCATTTATTTAAAAATATAAACATGGAAAAATAAATACTTTGAAAGACTAGATTATTACGTATGGTGGGCGTGTGTGGACAAGTCCACCCTTTTTCAGAGAAACTTCCAGGAGGTGCCAGCTCATAGGGAAGGGACCAAATGGGCTTTGGAGGTGGTGGCTCACCCTGGTGGACCCTCGTACCGAGTGCTGTCCTGCACCAGGAAGCTAGCCCCAATTCAAGGTGTGTGCCAGGCTGGGATTCTGCCACGTTCATTACAGGAATGTGACCCTCGGGGCAGCCCCCGCCCTCCAGGAAGACGACAGCAGGTCTTGGGGGGCTCGGCCCTGACGCGGGGCTCCCGGCTCAAGAGAGCGAGCAGACGGCACTGGAGCTCTGGTTCTTCTGAGCCTGCTGCCTTTGCAGCTCCTTGGAGATGCGCCTTCTGATGCCCAGGAGGTACAGCTCCCGGTCGAACTTGCCTGCGGCCAGTGGGATGCTGTGGGGACAGAGCCGTGTCCCCATGAACTGCTGAGAGCCCCTCAGCCCGCCTGGTCCCTGTGGGCTGGGAACCTCATGGAAGTCTCCAAGAGCTGCCCATGGTCACTGGTGGACCTCCCCTTGGTGAGGACACTGTACAGGGCTGTCTGCTGCCCTGTCCCATTTGGGTGTCTTCCTGCTAGCCAGCCCGTGGGCGTTTCCAATGCTCTGACCCTCCCTCACGCTCCCATGGTCAGCCCCCTAATGTCCAGAACCCTGAGTGGTGCTGTCCACTGACTTGTCTCTCCCAGGCCGCACTCGGACACGGAACAGGCCGTACACTGGGCGGTGGTCTGACGTCCTGATGCTGGGGCAGGACGCGTACCGGACAGGGCAGATGTCGTCCTTGTGCCGGCTCCGGTACATAACGCGGTCCTGCCGGGGACAGTGGTGGGCTGTCATGTGGGGATCCCCTGGCCCTGCCCGTGACCCTGTCTCCTGCCCCCACCTGACAGAGGACCCTAAGCTGGAGAGGGGAGGGTAGCTTTTGCCATGCAAGGGGACCTCTGGGCCTGTAGGTAGGAACTGCTCATTGAGGGTTGAAGGACAGCATGGTTAAGGTTCAGGTCTGTTTCTACATCATGATACGTAATAGAGTAACTGAGGCATCAAGCTTGGTTTGCTGGAACCTCCAGTATCCCATGCCCTGGGGCAGAGGCCTGGGCCTTGGATAAACGTGTGTCCTTGGACTTGCCGTTGGTGGTGTCAGTGACCCTGTGAGCGAAGTGCTGAACCCTGTCCCAGGCTAACTTCCCTGTAGTCATGGGGACCACCGAAACCCCAGCCTCTCATTCCATGCTGCGTTCTGGGGGAGAAACCCTGGCTAGCGTTGCTGTCTTATGTTGATGTCTGTTTACTAAGAACAGTCTCTCAGATGGAGGAGACCCTGTGGCTGAATTAAGGGTAATACCACACTAAGTAGATTAAGAACTGATCCTGGAAAGTGAGAAGGCAGGAATTACCTGTCTTCCGGATCCACGGACGTTCCCTCTAAGTCTCCTATCTACCCTTGGGACTGCGGGGAGGAGCCCGTGACATCCAGGGCAGGGTTTTACCGTGTAGGAGGGCGTCCTCTGCTTCGAGGTGCTGTCGTACGTGTCCTTGCCAATGTCAAACTTGTAGGATGGCAGGAAGTGGATGTCCGGCTCCTGGAAGCCCTGGAAGACGGAACCTGCGAGGGGTGCAGGCCCTCTCCACCCTCAGCCCTGCCCCTGCTCATCCCTCGCATGCCCCCAACCCCAGACCTTATACCCCCAGCCCCCTATCCAGTATCACCCTCTGCCCTGTACCTCGACTCCCAGCCTAGACCCACCTGCCCAGACCCTCGTGCCCTCACCTGCCTCCCATCCCAGACCTCACCCTCTATCCTGGACCTTGTCCCCGCTATCTACCGCTCACCTGCGTCTCACCTCCACCCTGTACCTCACCCCTCTCATCTCTCCTGGACCCTGGTCCTCGTCCCTTTTGCTCCTGCACCTCGCCTCATCTCTCTGGTGAGCTGGTCATGCTGTAGCAGAGCCGACACGTCTGTCCCCAGCTCGCTCCGCAGTAGGGCCTCCACGGTCTCCCGCCCTCCGCTCAGCCGGAAGTTAAAGTCTCCAAACCAGAAGACCTCATCAAAGCGCGTGGTGACGTCCGCTGAGACCAAGGTGGACAGAGTTAGGGCTACCCCAACTATGCCCCGCTCTGGAATCCCAGCAAGCCAGGGCCCCTCAGAGAAGTCAGCCACCTGGGACGCCCACATTTGTTTTGCACCAAGGAACCAGGGCAGGCTCAGCCCACCCAGAAGTGACAGCCTTCTGACCTGAGTAGGAGGGACACCTGGCTCCATGGGTGGGGGCAGCAGAGCAAGACCCTGGGGAGGGCGCTGGGCACTCCAGCCTCTCCCAAAGTTGGTCCCTCAGAACACTCCTGTTCTGAACCGTCCTTAGACGGGGGCCCCCGCCTCAAGTGGGGCACACACTCACCGGGGCTGGACCGGTAGGGGTTGGTGTCTGGCACGCTCTTGGGCAAGGCGAGGGCCTGGATGGTCCGCGAGTAGTCCAGCAGCCGCTCTGCCACCTTCCCATCTCCGGCTGCATGGACAGACAGGTGGGGGCTCGAGAGGGCTGATGGTGCCCAAGAGCAGTCTCTGCATCGCACCCCGGCACGCGTCTCCCCTACCAAGGATTCTGGAAGGCTCCCTGCCAGCCCCGTCTGCCAGCACCCCCCGGCGTCAGCGTGGGCCTGCCAGCTCGCTCCTGCCAGGACCAGGAAGTGAGGGGTGGGGACGGAGCTGGGCCTCGGATCCTGGTGGGGAGCTGACCAGAGGACAGCATGCTTGGCAAGGCTGACACGGAGCAGGCCGCATTCAGGGGACGCTGGGCCGTGTGGTGGGAAGTGACCCAGCGAAGGCTGCTCTGTATGTGGGTGCCTCTTGCCTGAGGTGGTGCGGCAAAGCCAGCTCCCCCACATCCCCTCCTCATGAAGGGGGACATCATGACTCCCCACAACTTCCTCTGACTTTGCATCATTAAAGGGGGTGGGGAGCACCCCGACAGCTCCCCCAGGCTTCTCTCCACACTACACAACCAGGTTGGTTCCACACAAACGTCACGTACCCGCCTGTGTTTACAGACAATGTGCAGTGTTGGGTGGGCACAGGGTGCAGCCCAGGTCCGTGTGCAGTGTGTGCACGTGAACCGCCTGCCGCTGACGAAGGCTGACACCCACACATACGCTTCTGACAGTGACTTCTAAGGGGTCCAGCACGGTCACCTCTCGAGAAGATACCCTGAACGCCTCCAGTCAGGACAGTCAGACACCCAGCTACCATCCTCCAACACCTGCTAGAGGGGACCTGCTGTCCGCCCTCCGTGGGCAGCAGCAGCAGAGCGCTCCCGGCCCAACGTCCTGTCCCTGGTGGACGCCTGCCTCACCATGTCAGCCTCGCATCTGTGACATGGGCTCACTGTGGGAGAGTGGAGGCAGGCAGAGCCCTGCACCTGGCTCCCAGACCCCTGAGTACCACGGTGATGAGGGGTGCACAGCGGAGGACTCACAGGTGAAGTGGGAGGTGATGAACAGGAAGGAGGTGCCGAAGAAGGTGAAGCTGAGAGCCAGGGCCCCCTTGGTCTTGATCTGGGACACGATGCGCGTGGTCACTGTGGAGCACTCCACCTCTGTGGAGGGGAACAGGACACAGCGCGCGCTAGAGCCGCCTGCAGCCCTCCCCACCCTCCCTGCCTGGCTGCCGACAGGTAAGGCATGCGAGAGCCCAGCACCCACCTGAGCAGAACCAGATGAGGTCTCTGCGGAGGAAGATGGCCAGGTAGAGGACGCCGTGGGCCGCCGAGTGGAGCAGCACGTAGTGGGGGCCCAGCGTCTCCTGCAGGCGCGTCTCCCACTCTCGCCTGTGGGGGATGTCAAAGGCTTTGGGAGGTGTGGGGCCACCAGATCACCACCTGGATCCCCAGCAGGAGGGGTGGGCACCCGTGCAGCCTGATGCGTGGTGCTCTATGGCCTCGATGCCCTCAAGTAACAGTCACTCGGATGAGCTCGGCACCACATCTGATGATGCCGGCCCCACCTGGCCCTGCCTCCCACATGGGCTGCTTCCCACGCACACAGGACAGAGGCCCAGGGCACAGAAGACGGCGAGGAGAGGCCGCCAGCCCAGCCTACCTGTCTGAGCAGCCTTCCTGGACCCCAACGACATACATGTCCTGAGCATAGTCCGCCTCGGCGGGCAGCAGGAACTCGTCCAGGTTTGGGGGGAGCTCCTGAGAGAGAGGAGGCTGCAGTGATGTAGGCTGAGGGTTGGAGGGCATGGGGCCTGGCTGGGAGAGGCCTGGTGGGGGCAGGGGCCCAGCAAGCCTTGGGGGAGGCCATGGATTGGGAGCCGCCAGCCCCATTGTCTCTGTTTGTCAGAGTGCCCTCTCTGAGTAAGGGGGACACTGAGGTCAGGTGGCAGGAAGGCCCTGCCAGGACGCAGTGCACAGCAGGTACGGACAGGTGGCTGTAGCCCTGCTCCACAAGGGCCTGGGCCGTCCACCCCACTGCCTGTATTCACACAGCCACGCCAGGAGCCTGACAGTCCGAACACCCACTCCGGGCCCCATCCCTGTCTGCACAAGACAGAGGACCACAGCCAGGCGGTGCCTGGAGCAGGATGGCCAGTGGTGCCCAGACCTCAAGGAGGGGCCCCTGGAAGGGGCTGAGGTGGGGCAGAAGGTAAGCACCTGCCCTGGGGACATAGTGCACTTGCGCCCTGAAAGCTTGCCGGGCAGGCACCAAGGAGGATGGGAGAGGGCATTACGTACCTTCTGGCCTTGCATGTTCCACGTGGCTACGAAGACAGCCACGCTGCGGTCCGGGAAGTACCGGGCCAGCTCGTCCGCTCCCAGCAAGGCTCCACTGGCAAGGAGGCTGCCCTCCAAGTAGCTTCTGCAGAGAGGCTGAAGTGAGCCCCTGGGAGGCCAGGCCAGGTGCCAGCCAGGAGGCCCCGCGCCCTTCCCTCAGGACACCACTGGGTGAGGCTGGGTTTCAGCGAACGGAGGGTGGCAAAAAGGACAAGGCTCTCGGGGGCACTGCCCGCGGGCCTCGGCCTGCCCACTGACTGGGCATCATCAGGCCCTGCCCCTGGGCTGCCCCCGGAATGCTCTCAGGACCCTGCAGGCCACCCTGGACAGGGTGCTTCAGCCTCAGTGCCTGGGAACCGCGGCACGCGTGGCTCTGCAGAGCAGCACGTGTCCAGGCTGCTCACAGGTGTGCCTGAGAAGCAGCCCGAGGTGACCACAGGCTCAAGTGGTGGGACCCTTAAAGCGTACCCTCCCAGGCAGGTCATGGTGGGCACTGTATGCAGACCTCCTGTCCACGTGGACAGGACGCCACAGGAGTCGGGGGAGGAGAGGATGGCGTGGGCACCACTGGGGTGGGGGCCCAGGACGCCACAGGGCAGCGCAGTTCAATTCCACAGCCCCAGGCAGCACCTGTGCACCTGGATGTTACACGAGAGGAACCACCACCTGCTCAAAGTAGGGCTGTCTGTGACAAAGTGCTTTAGATGCCAGCCTGGGAAGTGGAAGGTCAACACTTCGAATCCCCCAGCCACTCCGAGAGAGAAAGGGGGGTAGGCTCCTCCCACGAGACCCCAGCCTCAGAGCTGCCCCTCGGTCACTGTCAGAATGGGCTCCACGGAGGCCGACTGGCTTCTGATTAAAAACAGCCAGGAGCTTGGGAACGCCTGACAAAACCCCGTCAGTGCACGCCCTTCTCTCTCTCTCTCTCTCTCTCTCTCACACACACACACACGGCACAACACACGCCTATGCTCCTGTCTCTTCAGGCGGGGTGGGGGTGTGTCTTTGACAGCTTGGCCCCGAGCAACAGCACCAGCAACACGGAAAGGAATGTGGCTGTGCCAATAAAGCTCTGTCTGTAGGCACTGAGATGTCAGTCTCCCCCCGTATCACACGCCTGGAATATGACTACTGCTGGGTCCCTCCCCTCAGTTACTCAGAAGTACAAAACCAACGCTTACAGACTGTCCCCGGCCAAGGGCCTGTTTCCAGACCTGTCCTCTCTGCCCGAGCTGCGAGCTTCCCTGACGCAGCTGCTGAAGAAAACGCGTCTCTCTCCCTCAGCAGCATTACTTTACTTCAAATGTCCACACGTGACCAGGAAGCCAGCTGTGGAGCCACAGGAGCTGGACAGACCCTGACGACCCTCCCTTAGGGCCCTGCCTGCCCCTGCCCCAGGTCGACGGGCTCCTGCTGTCTTAAGTCCCCTCATGGAGGCACGTAGCTATAGTGGCCTCATCACCCCACACCAAGATGGGCAGCCTGGGCGGCCTGGCAGTGGAGGGGAAAGGAGAGGTTAGAACAGGGGCCAGAGTCCCCCAAGGCAATCAGCTCAACTCTGACTCAAGGTCACCTCTGCCAGGACTGAGGCTGCAAACCTTTACAGAGCAGACTGCGTCCTCTTTGCTCCACGGTGCTGGACTTACAGTCCAAGTGGTGTCCTTGTCGTCACCAGCCCAGAACTTCACCTGCTTTGGTGCCGGGGTGGGGGCAGCGGTGAGCTGCACTGGGAGTAGAACTCCTGGAGGGCAGCATGGGGCCAAGACGGCCAAGAGCAGATTACACAGTTCAACCCCGTTAAGAGACATAAGAACGATGGACGGAAACACGGCCATGAGGGTCGGACACACGGCCATGATGATGGTCAGACACAGCCATGAGGGACACACAACCATGAGGGACAGACACACAGCCATGATGATGGTCAGACACACAGCCATGAGGGACAGACATACAGCCATGATGGTCAGACACACAGCCATGAGGGACAGGCACACGGCCATGAGGGACAGGCACACGGCCATGATGGTCAGACACACGGCCATGAGGGACAGACACACAGCCATGAGGAACAGACACACAGCCATGATGATGGTCAGACACACAGCCATGAGGGACAGACATACGGCCATGATGGTCAGACACACAGCCATGAGGGACAGACATACAGTCATGAGGGTCAGACACACGGCCATGAGGGACAGACACACAGCCATGATGATGGTCAGACACACAGCCATGATGGACGGACACACAGCCATGATGGACGGACACACAGCCATGAGGGACGGACACACAGCCATGAGGGACAGACACACAGCCATGATGATGGTCAGACACACAGCCATGATGATGGTCAGACACACAGCCATGAGGGACAGACATACAGTCATGAGGGTCAGACACACGGCCATGAGGGACAGACACACAGCCATGATGATGGTCAGACACACAGCCATGATGGACGGACACACAGCCATGATGGTCAGACACACGGCCATGATGATGGTCGGACACACAGCCATGAGGGACAGACACACAGCCATGAGGGACGGACACACAGCTATGATGATGGTCAGACACACAGCCATGAGGACGGACACACAGCCATTATGGTCAGACACACAGCCATGATGAGGGACAGACACACAGCCATGAGGGACAGACAGAGCCATTATGGTCAGACACAGCCATGATGAGGGACAGACACACAGCCATGATGAGGGTCAGACACACAGCCATGATGGTCAGACACAGCCATGATGGACGGACACACAGCCATGGCCATGGGAGGGATGGCATGCGGGCGGCCTGTGTCCTCAGCACAAGCCTGGGGCAGTTGAGAATCTGCAGGGTGTCCTGAACAAGTGCCTGCAACCCCCACCTGGGGACACAAGGGACATGCCCCTCCCACCAGGAAGAAGCCATCTGAGACCATCCACAGAGGGTGGGAGGAACCCTGGCCAGCGCTCATGAGAGATCACTGCTTGGGCCACCCCAGAAATGCTTCTAGAAGGTTCTCCATGGCCAGGGTTTCCATCAGTGACCGGCACCTGCTAGAACACCCTCCCAGCACCACTGAAACCCACTGGCATCACGTTGGTTCTGACCCAGCATGCTATGGGACAGTGTGGAAATGCCCTGTGGGTTTCCAAGGAGCAGCTGGGCACATTCTTGAGGGTGGCTGGGGGTTTAACTGTCAGGGTTAGGGTTAGCAAGCCAGCACTGACCCGAGTGGGGGACTCTGTGACCCCCAGAGTACCCATGGCCAGCAAGGCACAGCCAGCAGACCCGCCATCCTCAGAGAAGGGGACTACACACCTGCCCCCCTAGAACCACCACGAGGTCTGAACTGCCAGCATGGTGGCTGGTGGTCCTGCACTTAACCCACTGTCCCACCAGAGCATTCACCACTTGAACAAGGCTCTGAGAAGCCACGGCTCAGGCGGAGTTCTGTGCCCAAAGACAGGAAACGTCAGGGATGGGGTCACGGCAGTGAGGTCACACGACTGAACTTGTACCAGCCAGCACCACGGTTTACCCACATCAGGGTGAAACGAGGTGTGGGGAAAGTTCTGGAAAGGCACTGCAGGTGCAGCTTTGAGAAGGGCCACCTAGCCATTCTCGCAGAGATCGCGCCCTCGGGCCTACCTGCGGTGCGGGTCCTACCTGCTGCGCACATCCTTGGCGCGGATCGGGGCCAGGAGGCTGAAAGAGGACTTGGCCGAACGCAGGGAGCAGCTGTCACAGGCCAGGGGGCTCCGGGGCCGGCTGGGGCCCAGGCTGCTGTGGGCTCGCACCAGTTTCTTCTGTACCCGCCGCCGGAAGTCCTCAGGGCTGGGCACCGCTTTGCGGGCCATCTTCAGTGAGTCTGAGGAATCGCTCAGGCCCACGGCGGGCAGTGGGGGGAGCATGCTCCCCAAAGTGGGGGCCTCTCTGTGCAGCAGGTCCAGTGAGGTGCTCATCAACCCTGAGACAGAGTTACCCCATGAGGAGGGGCTGCCTGGGGCCTGGTGGGACTTGGGGATCTCCTGCAGAGAGCTGCTCAGGCCAGGTGGGGAGCCGCTGCAGACAGAGGTGCCAGAGGGGCCCTCACACAGCTCGGCCTTGTTCCGGCCGGCCAGGTCCTCCTGGCTGGTTTGGAAGCGCCGTCGCCGCCAGCCCTGCTCGTCCAGGGATAGGGCACGTTCCAGCCGGGGCCGGGCGGGTGGCACTGGGGTGAAGGGCTTCACCAGGGCCTGTGTCTCCTTGGGGGGTGTGGCTTCAGCTGGGGAAGGTCCCTTGGTGGGGAGGGGGCCCAGGAGGCTTTGAGCCAGGCCTCTGTCTCCGGGCAGAAGCCGCTCCTTGAGCATGGCACTTCCTGGCTGCAGAGGGCCCTCCATGTGGGTCATGGACAGCGAGGTGGAGGGCATTGTCCAAGTGCTCTCGTGCCTGGGCCCAGCCTCCCTGGGGGGTTGCCAGCAAGGACGGCTCTCAGGGTGGGGGACGCATAGGCAGGGCTCAGGTGGTGGGCCGTGACAAGCCGGGCCCAAGATGAACACAGTGCTGGCTTGGGCTGGTTCCACAAGGCCAAGGTCAGCCACATAGCTGGAGCTACCTCCAGACCCCAGGCCCCAGAGCACTGGGGTTACCTACAGATGCCCCCGGGAGAGAGCATGGCTGCGACTCCACGGGACAAGTGTCCAAGGGGCAGCAGGCAGGGTTGATGGTCACCCTGGGTTGCGCAGGGAAAGTTGAGGAAAGATCTGCACAGGGGCGTCCGAGGTGCTGCTTCCTCACACCTGCTGGACGAGGAAGCCGCTCAGGGCCTGTGGAGGATGAGGCTGGGGAGACCAGCCCACAGGTGCAGCACCCCACAACGATGGCCCCCTCCGTAAGCACTCTCCCTTCTCCTCTGTGAGGCCGCACCTCTCACCTGCAAGCTCTCCCGACCTCCCCAGTGAGCTTCCCCTCCTCAGCAAGCCCTTCTCATCACCTGCACGCCCTCCGCTCCAGCACGTGTGCCCCCTCCCCCAGCACCTGCGCCCCTCCCCTCC